ACCATTTTGTTTAGTATAAAATTGTTACTCAACGTTTATATATTAGGAACTTTTTTTTCTTTCTGCCTTTTATGTAATGCAACAACATAATTCCTATGTTTTTGTCAATTTGTATTCCTGTTTTGGAGTTTTTGCTCCCCCCTCTATAATTTCACCCTTGAACACATTCACAAAATATGACAACAGTAATATCGCTTGATGGGGATAAAAAGACGCATTAGAAATTGGAAGGATTAGTTTATACGTTCTAGAGCAGGGATTCTCAATCCAGCCCTCAAGGACCCACTACCAGCCCAGGATTTAGGGATTACCTGGGTGTGTCTAAGGTGTTTAGAAAAAGAAAAAAACACCTTAGAGTCTAAGGTGTTTTTTTTTTTTTTTCCTTTTCTAAACAACCGTAGACACACCCAGGTCCCCTGAAACGTTGGTCATTATTTTTAACTTGATTCAATCAAATTTTTATTTTTAAGACCGGAGAGCAGCCATTACTACTTTGGGATTGTGTTTCTGTGGAGCCCTGGCATATGCACCCGGCAGTGGAGTGGTTAAAGGACCACTATAGTGCCAGGAAAACACACTCTTCTCCTGGCACTATAGTGCCCTGAGGGTGCCCCCACCCTCAGGGACCCCCTCCCGCCCGGCTCTGGAAAGGGGAAAAGGGGTTGAACTTACCTTTTCCCAGCGCTGGGCGGGGAGCTCTCTGCCTCCGATCCTCCTCTTCTCCTCCCATGCGGCTGAATGCGCACGTGCGGTAAGAGCTGCGCGCGCATTCAGCCGGTCACATAGGAAAGCATTCATAATGCTTTCCTATGGACGCTTGCGTGCTCTCACTGTGAAAATCACAGTGAGAAGCACGCAAGCGCCTCTAGTGGCTGTCAATGAGACAGCCACTAGAGGATTAGGGGGAAGGCTTAACCCATTCATAAACATAGCGGTTTCTCTGAAACTGCTATGTTTATGAAAAAATGGGTTAACCCTAGCTGGACCTGGCACCCAGACCACTTCATTAAGCTGAAGTGGTCTGGGTGCCTAGAGTGGTCCTTTAAGGTGTGAGTGCAGGGGATTTTTGCATTTTTATATATATATATATATAAAAAATTTTTATTTTTTTTTAAGTTCAAAGCTTTATTAAGGCAAGAGTATTTAGTTACAACAGTATAACTGTGCAGTTAAAGCGAATGTTGGACTTGCAGGTCCCATTACAGTGGAATAGTAATGCAGTGAATGCAATAATCAGTTATTGAGATGAAACAGAAAATGCGAAGACATATCAATTTATAGGTTTTGAATCCTGGTTGCTGTAATCTAATTACAGCTTGAGTTACGTGCATACCCCCAAAGGGCGGATCTAGCGTGAAACCCGGTTGTGGGGCGTTTCTGTATATTAACACTTCTCTTTCATTTCTCATGAACAGCTAGAAAAGAATCTGCCAAAGAGAAGCAACTGAAAGAAGAAGAGAAAATTCTGGAGAGTGTGACAGAAGGAAGAGGTAAATCATACAGACTGGTCACCATGTCATTGCAAGTCCTATTCCTAGTGACATCTCCGGTATCTGCTGTTACGTTGTCAAAGAATGATGCTTGAGGTGGTTTGTTACTAGGGTAGAATTGGAAACGGTCAAAGGTTGAATACGGAATCTTCCATTATTTTTGGAGTTGATGAATTAGCTTTATAGAAACATGCCCATCGTCCGTTTATTTGCACAATAAGATTAAATGTTATTGACCATTATTCTTTAACCCCTTAAAGAGGTTCTGTCACATCTCTGGTACTTTAATATGTTTGTCTGTCCCTATATTTAACTTTACGTTGCCTGTGAGGTATGAACAATATAATATGTAGAAATCCACACCTCGTTATGCTACAACCGAGCTCCTTCAAATCATTGCTATAGGGTCAGTTCTGGCAGAAAGCATACATAGAGGATGAGAAATGAAACAATGTTTCTGTTTTTTTCTCTGCATCAGAAATGTTTTGCCTTGTCTGAACTGGTTTATAATGTTTTTTTACATCTTAAACACAAATTTAAGAAAGCAAGAGCCTTTCATACACAAGTTATTGGTAAATTTAATTTATTTTTTCATTGGAGTAAAGTGACAGTTGTCTTTTAAACTCGGGCATGATTTTAACCTTCTGAAACTTCACTGGGCATCCGTGTTCTAGGACACTATTATTATGTTGGCTTGATCACAGGGATAAGAGTTTACCACTTTCGCCAGTTTCATGTCTGCTGATCCTGGCTCACACGATGGAGCTTTCTCTAGGGACGCAAAGCTTTGCTAGATGTTTTGCCACTTCCTTTTAGAAATGATAGACATGGATATGGTATGGCATATATTCTTTCATCATTGGAGCACCGGAGTCTCCCTTTTTAAGGATTTGTTCCGCAAATTGCTTATACTTGTTGTTTGGTGTGTGGTAAACAGTTTGTAAATGTCTGCATTTTTTTTTTTTGCCTAGATCCTAACTTTATATATTTAGTTCAAACATGCTGTGTTTGGTTGGCAGTTACTCTCCAAAAGACCCAATGCCATTTTGTATTTAAACTTGTATTAAGTTTTCACATGGTTATACAGACTGCTACAAGATAAGGTAACAGGTCAAAAACGGGGGACAGTTTGTTTTCTCTAACATCCTGTTGTGCACTTACCACAAATTCTTTAACTATATCCTTTCCTCCTCCTTACTGTTAGTTAGGGGTTGTATGCAGGCAAATGTCTGTTTGATTCCCAATGAAAGCAAACTATTAACACCACAGTATTGTTCTTCATTTTCATTCTTCAATTATTTTGTTTTCTTCTATACAGCTTTAATGTCAGTCAAGGAAATGGCTAAAGGTATCACATATGATGACCCTATAAAAACCAGGTAATTGTGTGTACCATTTGCGTGCGAGCGATGATATACTGAAATGTTGATTTAATGAAGTATATTTTGTGATAAAAGTGAAGCCTTTTTAAAGTGGAAAAGTGGAACCGTTGGGGTTGGACCAATCAGATTTCTTGGAAATTATTTTAGCTAACCAGGAGTATTCCAAATTATTGATGAAAAAGAACAAGACAGAGCAAAGAGCAGAGATAAAAATAATTACATAATAATGAAAAAAAGTTACCAAAGTATAAAATGTGATACAAAAAATGGTTGCACTGCCTCAATTATTGATGAACACAGTTTTTCTGTTGTCATAGGGTTTATAAACAATACTTTTAAATAGGCAATTTACTACTTTTGATCTTTTTTAGGTTTAATATTTAAGGAAAAATAATATATATTTTTTTAATTTATAGTTTTAGTATCTGTAGAGATTCTTTTTTTTTTTTTGTGTGTGTGTGTGTATGTTATTGTCTAACTGCATGTTATATTTCCGGCAGCTGGAAACCGCCTCGTTATATTCTTTCAATGTCACAAGCACGCAATGACCGTGTCCGCCGCAAATATCATATTCTGGTGGAGGGTGAAGGTATTCCTGCACCAATCAAAACTTTTAAAGAAATGAAACTCCCTGCAGGTTTGTCCGTTATATCGTAAATACCCTAGCCATTTCCAAGGATGGTCAAGTTAGTTGTTTAGAAATTGCCAACTAAATTGCTGTGTGTGGACTAAAAGGCGATTTGTTGCAAAAAGATAAGTTGAACGTACTGAAACAGAATGTGCTGCTCAACAAAGTGTTTTTTTCACCATTTTAACAAGGTTTAAAGAGGCATCTTCATGTGTGTGGGTCCCCCCTTTTCATATGCCCCTTGTATTGTAGTGATTATATAAATTTTTTTGCCACTTGCTTTTTTATACCTATTATCTTTTCTTCAAGGAGCAGATTTCAACACTTGAGTGCCTACATTTTGTTGTTCTCTGTTCATGATGCCTGCCTTTCTGTGGGATTTCTGTAAATTGGCCTGGAATCTAAAAAGGAACTTTCCCCAAAAATTATACTCCAAATAAAAAGTAGTTTCTAGTAGTTCTTGGCTGAGGTAATCAAATTTGCCTAACTCAGCCTATCCAATGCTGTGCTGGTGACGCATTGGGAGACTATTGCGCATGTGCGGAAAAACACCACACTGCGCCAATTAGCATCTCCTTATAGATATGCATTGAATCAGTGCATCTCTATGAGGAAAGAAGTTCAGTGTCTCCTATGCAGCACTAGACTCTAAGTGCCTCTATTGGCCATCTGAGTGACTGCCACGAGAAGTGGTACTAGGCATTAATGTAAACACTGGCTTTTCTCTAAAAAGGCAGTGTTTACATTAAAATGCCTGCAGGGACAGGCTATACACACCTGAGCCACTACATTAAACTATAGTAGTATTGGTGACTATAGTGTCCCTTTAAAAAAAAAAAAAAGAAAAATTAAAAAAAAAATGGAAAAGTGGGAAAAAAATGATTCCTTTAAATGCAAAACCTCTCTTTTAACAACTGTTTTAAACTTTATTTTAAATGAACAAACTAGATCTTTCTAGGACTGCATTCTGCATTTGTAACTAAATATTTAACATTTGGTGTTTTCTTTGTCTGCAGCTATTTTAAGAGGTCTAAAGAAGAAAGGAATCCTACATCCAACTCCTATACAGATTCAGGGGATCCCAACCATGTAAGTCCTGTATCCCATTTCCCCCCCAACTCCCCAGGACAAATGGTGAATGAGAGAGCAGGAGATCATGGTAGGGTAAATGTCTACATGTATTCATTATTATAATGTTCTGTTGCAGTTTATCTGGAAGGGATATGATTGGAATAGCTTTCACTGGCTCTGGTAAGACACTGGTTTTTACATTGCCGGTCATCATGTTCTGTCTGGAGCAGGAGAAGAGGTTACCTTTTACAAAGCGAGAAGGACCTTATGGACTCATCATTTGCCCCTCGGTATGAATCCATGCAGCCTGCTTTCTTGTTTATGCAGCTTACTTTTTTTTATTTTATTTTTTTCCACTGTTGATGCCTTGTATTCTTTCTTTTTACTTTAAACCTTTTATATTTCTTACTTACATCTGTACACTCATCTCTTAAACCTAGTCACTCTTATCTTGTTCTGTTATTTCTTCAGAGGGAGCTGGCACGTCAGACGCACAGTATCATCGAATATTACTGCCGACTGCTTCAGGAAGATAATTTCCCACCTTTGCGCACTGCCCTTTGCATTGGAGGAATGTCCGTCAAAGAGCAGATGGAAACCATCAAACAGTAAGTTCTGTGCTTTAACCATTCGCAAATGACAATCCATTTCTAACCTTCCCCTGTGCCTTTTTGTACTGATTTAAACATGTTTTACTCAGGCTATAGATGGTGCCTAATGTGAGTTATTCCATAATAAGTAAATCCGTCAGGTTTTTTTATACACATTTTCCTACTGCCTTTTCTTCGTAGTGCACATTACTGTATTTATACTCTGAAGACAACACAAATGTTTCTACCGAATGACTTTGTACATATGTTTATTACTTGTTCAAGTTGTCATTGGGACTTAACACGCATCCACAGTCTATCCCCTTTAGAGGCAGGGTCCCAGTGTTTTGGGGTGTTGTTTTTTGTTTCAGCCTATTTAATTTTTTATTCTATGTTGTATGTGTACTTTGTGTCCATTAGCAAAGGACAAGCTAAGTTTAGCTGTTTACAAATTAATATCGGTTCATATTCGCATGTGGAAATAATTTGAGTAACACATCTGACGTATACATTGACAGAGTACATGTCTCGGCCAACTTATTCCTGGGCATGGTGTGAATAAGAAGGTAAACACCTGCTGAATTCTGTCAACACTTAGATTCCGTAAACACATTCACACCTGCTTCTTACAGCCCATTGACATTGAGTATCAGAGTGGAAATATCCGTTCCCTTCCTGGTCCATCCTTTGTGAATCAAACCAAAAACTTTAAACTAGTTAGTAATCGCATTTCTCACTACAGTCCGATCTGCCTGCAGTGAAATAATCAATCATAATAACTTTTAACCACTTGGATACTTCTCTGAGTAATGCAGTGCAGACATATAGTGTATTTGTGGCAATTGCTGCAATCCTCCAATCCAATACATTTGTATGAGAAGCAATAGCCACATTTGCAGTCATTATTGATAATGCCGAATGTGAAGTGCTTTGAAAATCTAAGGATGTATAAGAGGAAGTGACTGGTTATTTTTAATAACATGTACGTAATACCATTTCTAAAAAATGGCATTATTTTACTTTATCAGAGAAAAGGGGGCAATGTCTATCCACAAAAACTAAAATATTACGCTGTAATGGTTTTGCTGCTTAATATGTCTCTTTGACCCCTTTAATCCTGAGCACTAATTGATTGAATAAATGATTATCATGATTAAATATAAAAAATAAAATATTTGGAGAAACCAGAAGCTTAAGACAGTATACGGTGTTCTTTATCTTTCAATATTTAACACAGACAGTAAGTGTGGCAAAAATAGATAAAAGGGTCAATTGCTTTGCTTATAGGTATTTGTAAGGGCCCTGAAGACATTACTATCAGAACAGCTTACTAAAATTGTCAACAGAATGTAAAAGGATTGTCTGCATTTGAGCAGATTGCCCATATATAGTAAATATTTACCTATTTTATGACTGGTCGGACTTACAACCAGCTCTGTAGCATGGGGTTTCGAAGGATTCCCCACATTAGAGAGCTGGTCTATGTTCGGGGAATTTTCCCTAAACATAGATTTCAGAGGTTCCCTGTGCTGTGATATTTTTGATGGTATTAATAGTACAACAGTAATAACCCCACCCTTATTTCTCTTACCTCAATGTAGGGGTGTACACATGATGGTTGCAACTCCTGGCCGACTTATGGACCTGCTGCAAAAGAAGATGGTGAGTTTGGACATCTGCAGGTACCTGGCTCTGGATGAGGCTGATCGTATGATTGACATGGGCTTTGAAGAAGACATTAGAACCATATTCTCTTACTTCAAGGTACTTCTACTTATTCAAATTATTCATTAACTTGGAAGCAATTGCACACGTATTTATCAGGCATATGTTCCGTTCCAACAAAACACGTTTGATGGCATGATCTGCAGTGTAATTATGAAACATTTCTTATTGACAAATATTTTAAACTTTCTTCCTAATGTTGTCAATGCATTAAATATTTTCATAGTTGAAGATAAAATAAAATTGTTTCAGGCATAGATCTTATTATACATATTAAACCTGCAGACCTGATTGCTGTCAAGGTCACCTCAGTCTATAATCCTTTTAAGGTTAATATAAGTACTAGTTTAATTCAAATGGCCAATACAATCCTTCCTAGTAGGATCCTCTCTTTATTTATTTATATTTGTGACAATGTCAAGTATATTTCTTTAAAAAAAATAGCCCTTTTCTCTCTCTACATGGAGTATTTGTCTTTTTGAGAGCATAATTATTTACTCCCCAAACAGATTAACTGTATTTTATCTATTTTTAAAAATGATTCTTTACTGTGTTCTTGTAGCAAGTAGCATGCTTTTCATTTTCTTGTCCTCTCATATTACTAGGGTCAAAGACAGACACTGCTTTTCAGTGCAACCATGCCGAAGAAGATTCAGAACTTTGCCAAAAGTGCCCTAGTAAAACCGATTACAATTAATGTTGGCCGAGCAGGCGCTGCCAGCCTGGATGTCATACAGGTATGTCAACGTCAGTCTCTTGCTGGACAGGAATGGAAAGGCTGCCATTACAGATTACTTGTCATAACACTTTTTTTAGTTTTACAAGCGAAATGTGGGAAGAATATTACAAACTCCATAAGCTGGCAAGATAGCCAAGTTGGTTATTGACCCTACTGTACTATTTCTTTCACCTCTTAAAACGTCAGGGTTGCATTTCTAGAAGAGTTCACTCTGCATCTGAACAATCCAAAGTCAATACAATTAGTACTATTGATTTAGACAATATTATCTCATGACATAATAGAAATCTACAAATCTAACGGTAAATCCTCTATTATTTTGTTTATTACAGGAAGTAGAGTATGTGAAGGAGGAAGCAAAGATGGTTTACTTACTTGAATGCCTGCAGAAGACACCACCTCCTGTGAGTAACACTTGTAATTCATTGCCATCATGCTTACACACAACAAATTGTGATCCGTGCAGATTTAGCCTAAGTATGAACTGCAGGCGAATGGCTTGTTTGATCTGTCGTCCTGCTTTTTGAGAGAATAAAAGGGTTACCTACTCGCTTTTAATGTTGGGCGCTCTTTGCATTCTATATGTACCCCATAAATACTAAATGTAAAGAGTTAAATTTTTTTAAGTGTCTCATGTCAGAATGTTACCAGCACATATACAAAAGTATTTGCAAAATGTAGTTTTAAATCTTGATCTGTTCCTAACTTGCAATGATTTCAGTTACTGATTTTCACCATACACTACTTTGGTTCCCAATAGTGTGCTATTGCATTGGCTCTATAGCTTATGCAAATATGTACTTATTCACTATCAGCTGTTTCAACCGATTTCTTCCCTATGCCAGGTTCTCATATTTGCTGAAAAAAAGGCAGATGTAGATGCTATACACGAATACCTGCTTCTCAAAGGAGTTGAGGCTGTGGCAATACACGGAGGGAAAGGTATGCATCTTTAACTTTTGCATTCATTCAGTATCCCAGCTGTGTTTCCTCAAGCACAGATCTAAATCTCTTAGCTGTACCTTTTAGACCAAGAAGAAAGGACCAAAGCAATCGAGGCTTTCCGTGAAGAGAAGAAGGATGTCCTAGTAGCTACAGATGTTGCATCCAAAGGTTTGGACTTTCCAGCCATTCAGCATGTGATAAACTATGACATGCCTGAGGAAATTGAGAACTATGGTGAGTGCAGAATGTAGTCTAATATGACTATCTAGTCTCTTTTTGGTTGTGTAAATGCCACAATATGTATTCCGGGGTTTGTTGTGATTACAGGAACACAAACATGTATTCCTGAATCTATATCGTTAAAAACACTATTTAGCTCTCTTGGCTCCCCTTGCCACCTTAAATATAGTAAAAACTCACCTTATTGCCAGCGCCATTCCTGATACGTCTCCTTGGCTGAGATCATCAGAATTGACTATCTCAGCCAATCACAATGCTTTCCCATAGGAAGCTTGAGTAATTATTTTATACTGAAACTGCCCATTTAGGTTTCAGTCAGGCTTCATACTTTGCATCACAGTGTTGCCTGATATGCATTGTTGTCAAGAGTTTGTGGCACAGAAGCACACAGTGTTTTAAATGCTCCAGAAAACACTAGTACATCAACATTGTAACATAATTTGTTTGTTTCTTTCAGTTCACAGAATAGGACGTACCGGTCGTTCTGGGAACACTGGAATAGCAACCACGTTTATCAACAAGGCGTGTGGTAAGTGTGTGATAAATCTAGATTTGTCTCTGGATGTGAGATTTTCAGGAAACCTGTTGTTTACTCAAATTACTTGTGCATGCTAACTAACATCTCAACAGATTTACTGCATTGCTGTTTATGTATGTTAAGTACTACAGGAAATGGAATTTCATTAACTGAAAATCACCAAATAATGCTTCTCATGCACAATAATGTTTCTATTGTAGTGCAGGTAGTTTTATTGTGTTTGGTCTCACCACAAACTGTTTAGCACCTAGTTATATCCTGTCAGAGACTACAACTACCAGACCAGAACTGGTGCCATGCTGACATGACCCATAAGGTTGAAACTGTGCAGTCCATGGCTAGGTTCTGGTCACCGATCCTTTTGGATCATACCCCTGCTTTGGTTTATGAACGCTGTGTTTAAAACAGCCCCCGTTGCTTACGGGTATCTGCGGAAATGCAGTATGAAGTCTGAAACATGATGCCTGTCTGTGCTCATTTGCATGTCAAGCTGGGGATTCTGGGATAGTTGTGCAAACATGATTTCTGTGCCCAAGGGGTGCTTCTCAAAGTCCAACTTGAGATATGCAGGTAATGCGTAATCGTAATGTTTCTAGTTTCAGCGTCGGGAGTTTTATCATGTTTGCTCTCACCACAAACTTTTTGGCACCTAGTTATATGCAAGAGTGTGAAAGTAGTCGTCAGTTCCCTTTGACCTGCCTGCCTGTTTTTTATTTGTTTATGTCTATGAACAAGATACATATTGACAATATAGGAAGCGTTACAGGAATTTTGAGATCCTGTATTTGTTTCTGTATGTATTGCTGTAGGTTAGTCATAATATGTACATTAACTCTCCTGGTGCTTGCATTATTCTTTTAGAATTTTTTTTTTTGTTTTTTTGTTTTTTTGTTTATTGAAGTGTGGGGTTAAACATTTGGATTTTTCCCCTTTGTTTCATGATTTCCCTCCCTTTCAGATGAATCTGTGCTGATGGATCTTAAGGCTCTTCTCATGGAAGCGAAGCAGCGCGTACCCCCTGTGCTACAGGTACTCAACGGCAGCGATGACAACATGTTGGACATTGGAGGTAAGCAATCCAATTCAATGTGCACTTCACCCAGTAACTGCCATCAGCATTGTCACACAAATTGCTTTCTGCATCCTTCTTTTAACCCCTTAAGGAATGTATGACGGTCTATGCTGTCATGCAGTGCTTAACGTCTGGTGACGGCATAGACTGTCATGCTTAATGTACCCACAAGGATAGATTCCTGCTGGTACCAAGGAGCCCTAGGCACAATTCAATACCTGAAGGTCCTTTCTATCAGATGGGACCACGATTAGTCACCCCAGACTGACAGATGGGCCGTGCTTTAAATCTCTTCAGCTGAGCTATCGCATTCATGATAACATTGTGGTAGAATTAGCACATGTGAGATCACAGGTCACAGGTTCGAATCCCGGCAGGTAGATAAAATGAGTACCATTAAATTGGGTAATAGGTAATATGGATGTTGGATGTTGGGTTAAGGTAATATGCCCAGGACCTACTTGAAAACCAGAGTAATCTAAATGTGCCTTACCTGGTATACTTCGTTGTTATTATTATGAGTTTGTTTTTATTTCCGTGTGCTCTACTACCTGTTGGTTGCTTCATATTTATTGTTCCTCTTTTCAGATGAAAGGGGTTGTGCTTTTTGTGGTGGCTTGGGTCATCGTATCACCGACTGCCCCAAATTGGAGGCCATGCAGACAAAGCAGGTCAGCACCATTGGAAGAAAGGACTACCTGGCCACCAGCTCCATGGACTTCTAAGGAGGAACATCCATCAGGATTATTTATTAGTGGTGTCTGCAGGCTGAATTGCTATGAACGTCTAGATCATCACAGTGCTTGTTATTCGTATTGTACTACACTCTGTGTAATATTCGTAGATACAGAGACTCTTCATTTTGTTGAAACAAAACACGTAGTTCATAGTAAGGCTGGCGATGCACTTTTCCAATAGTTCATTAAAACGGACAAAAGACTTGAGTTTCTGTGAAACGTATTTAGTACCAAGGGATTTAAAGGAATTGATTCACAAAACTGCTCCAGTTTATTTTCACTTTAATTTGTTCTTATAAAGCTTTTTGTCTGCTGAAAAAATATATTCCATATCCCTTTCTCATTTTTCTATGCTCTATTTATGCAGCAAGATAGTTTAAAAGTTTGAAATTGAATCACAGAGAACATCAAACATGATTGTATTTTCCACAAGCACTCTATTTTTCTTTTCCTTTCCATCTTGTATTAAAACAATAAATAATTGAAATACGTTGAACATGTTTTCCAAATCTTCATTTTGCTGTAGTCAGTCATTTTACACTCTGACATCCTGCAGGAAGGTTTACTAGTCGGCAGTCTCAGGTTTTCAAGAGAGATCTGAGTGAGGAAATGTAAATAGAAAAAAACTTACTTATTGCAGTACATACGTGATTAGGGTTTTTTGGCTTATTTTTTAACCTTTCAATCTGTATTGCAGCAATTTATCATAGACTGCTTTAACCATCTGAACATTACAAGACACTGATTAGACCCAGGGAGAAATGGCGTGAGAGCTAATGCTTTTCCGATTGGGTGTCTGCTACAAGCAAACGGACAATCTTAAAAGCTTTGTATGGGGATGGAAGAAACTCACAGCCTGCTGTATTAGGCCTAGGAGTGAGTTTCTGCAGATTCTTTTGGATATTATGGTGAATGTAGCTGTAAATGGGCCTAAACAAAATCTGCAACAATTACCTTGCAGGGTTAATCCTCCTCTAGTGGCTGTCTACAAGAAAGCCACTAGAGAGATTTCCGGGTGCGTAGACTACTTTTGGTTGTTTAAATGACGCGGGACGTCCTCACTATATGCATGAGGACTTCCAGCATCACCGGAATCCCCATAGGAAAGCAATGAATAATGCTTTCCTATGGGGAAATCCTAATGCGAGCGCAGGCCATTGCCGCACATGCGCATTAGTTCTTCCCCACCATCTGACAGCAGGGGAGAAGCGTGGAGCCTGCACCAGTGCCGAGGGACATCGGCGCTGGATTAAGGTAAGTGACTGAAGGGGTTTTAACACCTTCAGTGATGTGGGATGGGGGTCGGGAAGGAGGGGGGCATTGCAGGATTCTACAGTGCCAGGAAAACAGCTTTGTTTTCCTGGCACTAGAAAATCCCTTTAATGTCATTTTTTTGTAAAGCTAAATACAGTTAGAGGAACAGTGTGCACACAAACCCAAATTGGGTGGGAATTGGGGGCTCACCAAGGACATGTTTTTTAAGTACTGGTGCTGCCATAATTTTTTTTTTTTTTTAATTCTTTATTTTGTATTGACATACAATAAAGGAGACTGGGGGGCTTCCCACGAATGGAGAGATAGTCAGGCGGGACATGTTCGTATTACCTTACCAGGTTAGCGCTTTCCCAGGGTTCCCAGATCTTCTGAAAAGTTTTTAAGGAGCCCCTTATCCTAGCCGTTAGGTTGTCCATCAAGTGGACCTATTTTATCCTGTTTATCACTCCTGCCATTGGTGGTGTACCCGGTTTAAGCCACTCTGAGGCTACGGCTCTCCTAGCTGTTAATGTAATTTTGTGGATGAGCTTTTGTTCATGCATCTATGGATCTGTCTAATAAGAATAGCCATGGATCTAGGTTTGGGGCTGTAGAGAAAACCTGCGACAACAGGGCCTGTATTCGTTTCCAGAATTTGACCATCTGAGGGCATTCCCACCACATGTGGACATAAGTCCCCCGCAAGCCAGAGCCCCTCCAGCACACATCTGTAGGGTTTTTTTTCATTTGATGTAGTTTAACCAGTGTAGTATACCAGCGAAGCATAGTTTTTACAGATTGTTCCTTTAGGGTAACGCATACGGAAGAGGTATGGTTAGCCTCCCAAATCTCTTGCCATTCTATGCCTTCCAGTATTTCCCCTAGGTCTTTATCCCATTGATCCGTATAGGCTAGCTTACCCCAATCCCCGGCTTCTGAACAGAGGTGAGCATACATAAGCGTTATCATGCCTTTAGGTATGGTTTCCTGAAGGCAAATGCGTTCAAAGAAAGTCATCTTTTGCAGGGCTGCCGCTTTGATGTGTGCTAATTTTGCGTAATCTTTAAGTTGTATGTATTGGAAAAAATCTGAGGGGGCAAGGTGTCCCCGCTGTCTTAATGTATCAAAAGGGATGACCTCTGTTCCCTGATACAATTGGCAAATGCGTAAACCTATTCAATCTAAGCTTTTGAAGGCTCTAGCTGTCATTCCGGGGACAAAGGCCTTATTGCGTAAGTATGGCATTAGAGGAGACGGATCAGATGCTAAGTGAAACTTATGTTTAAGGGAGTCCCACATCCTCAAGGAGTTGATTATAGTCGGGCAGGTGACCCTTATCTCAGGTCTGTGTTCTTTAGGGATCCACATAAGGAGCTGTGGAATGTCCGCGCCCGTCTTGAGAGATTCCACGTCTGCCCATTTTCGGTCTCCTGGGGGAGAGTGCCACATTGCCACTTGAGTCAATTGAGTCGCTGCGTAATAGTAATATATGTTTGGAAGACCCAGGCCCCCTCTTGTCTATGTAGAATGTATCTGAAAATTCTGTCTCTCTTGTTCTGCCATACGAAGGACCCTATAGCCCTCTGCAAGGGCTGCAAGGACGATCTGGGGACGCGGATGGGCAGCGCTTGAAACAAAAACAGAATTCTAGAATTCTGTTCATTTTAACAGCGTTAATTCTGCCTATGCATGAGATGGGTCTGTCCATCCACGTCTCCATCTCCCGTATCAGCTGTTTCATCAATGGTGTATAATTTGTCTGGGATTGCTGTCAGGCGAATACCTAGATATTTAAGTGACTGTTGTTCCATTCGTATTTGGTGTGTGTCATGTATGAGGGCTGTTGCCATCGCCGGTACCCCTATTGGGAGGACACTTTGTACCCCAAAATAATCCCAAAGTCCCTTAGCACCCCCTTCATTTCATTGAATTCACCGGGTCGGTGAGCGCTAGGAGCACATCATCCACATAGGCTGATACCAGAAATTCTCTGCCTCCCACTTTGACACCCTTAACGCCGCGTGGCACCGTAATGTCTGTAATAGGCGTTCTAACGACAGTACAAATAGGAGGGGAGAGAGGGGGCACCCCTGTTGAGTACCATTAAAAAAGGTGGAAAGGGCGGAGCGGGGCTCCTTAGATTTTCACCTGCGCTCGGACGTTAGTATACATCGCTCTTAGTAAGGTCGTGAACTGTTCATGGAACCCTAGATTGGTCAGGAGCGTGAACAGGTAAGGCCACTTCACTCTGTCAAACGCTTTTTCAACGTCGAGTGAAACAAACATCGTTGGAGTCTTAGTGGCCACCTATCAAGTCTATATTTCTGCGAGTGTTTTCGAACAGTTGTCTGTCCGGTATAAAACAAACTTCATCAGCATCTATCAAGTTCGCTAAGAAGGGGTTGAGCCGTTCTGCTTGTATCTTTGCCAAGAGCTTCATATCGTGATTTATGAGAGATATCGGCCTATAGCTGCCCGGTGAAAGGGGATCTTTATCTGGTTTTGGCAATAACACGATGGTAGCTAGGTTCATATCTGGGTTTGGGGAGCCTCCTGTCTGAAAACTATTGAAGACTTCTGTCAAGTGAGGAACAAGTCCTTGGGCTTCCCTGGTAGTGCTAGTACCGAAGCGCGACGGCACCACGTGCTTCTGTGTAGACTCAACGATCGCACCATAACGGATGCCTACCCGATGCCCAGAATAGACGAGTTGCTGGATCGTATGGCTGGGGGGAATTACTTGACTACCCTGGACTTATGCAAGGGGTATTGGCAGATCCCCCTGGAGCCTGCGGCCATACCCAAGTTGGCATTCGTCACTCCTTTTGGGCTATACCAATTTATGGTTATGCCTTTCGGGATGAAGAACGCTCTGGCTACATTTCAGTGGATGGCCGACAGGCTCCTGGAGGGGATCCAGGACTTTGCATGTGCATATTTAGACGATATTGCCGTCTACAGCCGCACATGGGGAGATCACCTGGGGCATGTGTCCAGGGTACTCGAGCGAATTCACCAGGCAGGGCTCACATTAAAGCCCGACAAATGTAATATCGGCATGGCCGAGGTACAGTACCTTGGCCACAGGGTAGGTTCAGGTAGGCAGCGGCCCGAGCCTGCCAAAGTAGAGGCCATAGCGAATTGGCCCCAACCCCGTACCAAAACCCAGGTCTTAGCCTTTTTAGGAACAGCCTACTATTACCGGAAATTTGTCCCAGAGTATAGCGCCCTGGCCAAACCTCTCACTGACCTCACCAAAAAGGCCCTCTCAAAACAAGTAACCTGGACCCCAGAGTGCGTGGAGGCGTTCCAGAAACTGAAATCGGCATTAAGTGAGGCTCCTGTGTTGGCAGCACCCAACCACTCTAAACAATTTCTTGTCCACACAGATGCCTCCATGTTTGGGCTGGGAGCCATGTTAAACCAGGTGAGAGACCTCAGCCATAAACTTTTGCCCAGAGAGGTCAGCTATGCCAACGTGGAGAAAGAGTGCTTAGCCCTAGTATGGGCACTCAAGAAACTACAACCTTATTTGTACGGCCGGCCATTTACTCTCATGACTGACCATAACCCTCTTGTGTGGCTAAACCGAGTGGCTGGTGACAATCCCAGGCTATTGCGGTGGAGCCTAGCTCTTCAGCCCTACAATTTCACAATGCAGTACCGTCCGGGCAAACAAAACAGTAATGCAGACGGTCTGTCCAGCCAGACCGACCTGGACGCTTAAAGACTCTTCCTCTGACATCCCCAAGCCAACCCGACAGGGTCTAGGCGGGTATGCCGACCTATGGACTTATAGCAGTGTGAAGAAATCCCCTGTTCCCTATGTTATATACCCATTGCATCCCCTTTTTTTACTCTATGTCTGCCCATTGCATTCGGTAGATCTAACTACCGAACAAAGACCACCCCTCTGGTTCATTAAACAGCAAAGTTTGGGTGAAATTGCTACCTCTGTATGTGCGGCCAGCATTCGTCAGTCGAAGGCCACGTGGCAGAGTAAACCGCGGCCATCTTTGTTCATGTGAACAAAGACAGCGGGACCTGGTCGTCGAGTGCATGGAACTAAAAACGGACACTCGACTTCCCAAACAGACGAACGCTGGAACTCTATTTATCGAATAGCTAGCAGAGTGCTATTCGGTACTTTGGTGTTTTCGACAGATGGGCACGAACGCTGCTAGGAGCCAGAGGGGTCCATTCGGTACTTTGTTCGTTTTGAGGCTTTTTCGA